GCCGTTCTCCTATCCGCGACCTGGAGACGCGCTCGGTAGCACTCAGCTGTGCTATCCGCATACAGTTCCATGCCTTCGGGCCGAGGCTGTTCGGTGATGGTAACCGGCAACCTAAGCCCCGGGGCTTGGAGTGGCGAGCCACATAAGGCCCAGACGTAGTATAGAACCGGAACACAGGGAAGGTAGATGTATATAGGAGAAAAGAGACTATAAGTTAATTACAGGTTGACAATAAAAAGGGGGGTTCCGTATAATCGGAAACAGCAGTAGAGAAAGTGATTTTATGTGACAGACTGCTTACAACAACAAAGGATAATGAATGACAAAGGTGTACTTTTCTGTCGTTCTTCCAGCATTTCTGATCGGTTTTCTTTCACTGAACACATTCTCACTTCAATGTCCCAATCGTTCACAACGGTGACTGAGTTGACTACCACAACCATAAGTGATGATGGTGTAGCTCCCACGAATTTCTGGTAATCTATCCTTCGTGTGTGAGTCTTTTTGCTCCTGACCCACGCCCGGTTTCACTGTTCAATCTTAAGGAAACTTTTCTCCAAGACCTACACTCCTTCATTTCTCAATTTTTCTGGCCCCGGAAGTAGATGATTCGCGAACGAATTTCACATTTTTGCACTCTTCTCAAACTGCCTCTTGCTGGTCAGCATATGTATTCTCTGTTGATGAAGTCTTGTGCATTGAATACTCGTGTCAGGGCTGTTTTTCGTTCAAGCAAGAGAGGGAGAAGGACCAACCCCGATCGTATCTGATTGAGTTCCACTCAATATTGACGATACATCATTTCGTTACTTTTATTGCTTTATCTTTTAGATCTCACTTGTTCAGAATGGTCAGACTTACCGCCGAATTGATTGAAAATGCTCCCCAGTTTACGAATGCTATCAAAGACAGGGAACTGGATCTGCACGGTTACAAATTTCCGGCCATTGAAAATATGGGTAGCACGCTGGATCAGTTTGACACTATTGATCTTTCTGGTAATGAAATTCGCAAACTGGATGGATTTCCATTGCTTAAACGACTTAAGGCACTTATCCTAACAAACAATAAAGTAAGCATATTTATAAACATCTCTTTTCACTTTGCCACTTTTAACTTGTGTCCTGTGTCCATAGAAGTTTGACCTCAGGTGTACACAGTTAAACTAGCTGTTTAACCTATGCGAATTGTTCGTTGATTCGATTGATAAAATTCACACTTTCATTGCTTTGCTTATATCAAATGCGTTGGAGGGGGAGGGTGATGCATGCAAGAAGCTTCGCGTGTGAAATATTCGATGCCACCGCCATAGCTAAGCATATTGTTCACTTGAATGCTATCGATTTTAGTGAGTACCTTATGCTTATAGCCGAATCAATCTTACCAGTGTGTCTAATGGCTGCATTTGTGCACAGCGATTCAAGGTTGAGCAGGATCTTCCGTTTTAGGAACTACTTGGTGCAATCGGTTTATCTGGATTGGGATTGAATTTAACAGACTACTCAATTTTGCCGATTATTATCGACCTTTTATCACTAAAATGCGGCTTCTTCTGCCGTGATACTCCAATGACAGACGATAGAACACCAATTAAATTGTCCTTTCATTTGTTAACGGTGAACTTCTTCGGTTGAAAACTACCAATCACAGAGCTAAATGTGGGAACAAAAGCGGACCTCATCACATACTCTTCCGCAAGAAATTTGAACTTCATCTAACAACTTNAACTTGCAAAAAGACCGTCCCATCCAAACGCTCGAATGTACTTCCATTGGAAAGGAGCGAAATAGACCAGAAACTGATGGGTATGGTAACTGCGCAATTATCGAATGATTCTTCGGTGTACAAGGGAGCTGAAATACCGTAAACCAGGCCGAATTCTCTGGTACAGCAAGCTGCTCTGCAACAGGACACGTCGCTTGAAGGACTGAATATCCCGCCATACATTTCGATCAACCATTGCTGCACGAAAGTTACGCGCAACACAATATTCTGCTTGTCGCGATCTCAAACGACAAGCAGCCCGATCTGACAGAAACGGTAGATGCCACTTTTGACAACAAAAGTGGAGACAGCAGCCAACGTGGGAGACGTGAAGATTCTCCTCACACTTATACGATCAGCATCGGGCAAGTAACAAACTAGCCAGCCTATGTTGCAAAACGCTTCCAGTGAGCTCATGTTCGATGCCGAAGGAGGGATTTCTCGGTGACCGGAACACTTCAGTGTACTCACTTAATCTCTAGTCCAGACTCCGTATGCGTCATCATTGCAACACAAAGCTAACTGCGCTCCGCTATCAGTAGAAAGAATCTCAGATATAATATGTCATCACAAGCCACGGAGGTCTACTGTCAGGTACGGAATGCCCGCGAAAGTTTATGCATGGCTTATTGAATGTAATTTGGCAAACTGAGACTTGCTCAACAAACTGGACCACATCGATTTTACTACCTTTCGCCAAAGGAGGGACAAGTCATTTTACCAAAATGACGAAAGCATCAGTTTAATGGACGCAGCAACCAAGGTTTTTGCTGAGCCGTTTTGTAAAGATAAATCACACACGCACCAACCCTAACCAGAACGGATTGCACACCGGTGTGGGCTACGTTAAACAAATAGTCACCTCTTAAAATATCCTTACAAGTTTATACAACCCACAGCAGTCTACCTCATAGACTTTTATGTGACATTCGATTTCGTAGATCGCGAATTTCTCTGAAAAATAGTCGATGGTGTCTCAGTTAATCTTGTTAGCCTTACGAGATCCTACTATTCTAATACTAGCTGCCAAATCCTTATCTACGGCGAGGCGTCATTCGCGTTTGAGTTCGGATTTGGAGTGCTACAGGGGTGTTCATTGTCCCCAATGCTGTTCAACTTTGCTGTTGACCAGATAATTGGTCATTCCATGAAAGGATACCTGGGAGTTTAGATCTCTCCGAACGTATAACTCGCCGACTGAGAATTCGTCGATGATATTGTCCTCTTTGGTGGGAAGATGTCCAACTTCCAAGTAATCGTTGACCGCATCAGTCGACAGGCCTCAAAGGTCGGCTTAGGGATGAAAACATCAAAAGAGCGGTTAAAATTCTGACTGTAGTCGACTACCATTCTGCGTTTTTGACGTTCGTTGGTGGTAACAAGCACTTGGGCACGCCAAAGAGAATGCGAAGGTTCTATGATGCCATCCCTCAGAAATTTTCGTCGTTCCGTTTTGATGAATAGCTCGTCAGAGGGTGAATGCCTCCGAAACTGGGTTGCAACTGGAGCGCAATCAGGTGTGGGATTGTTAAATACTGAAGTTGGCTCGATATTCTCAGCCGCTACGCTGCAGACCAAAAATGAATCTTTGGCTCCATTGAACGGAATTTCTATTTTTGAATGTAGTCGGAAGAAATCGTGTCCAAGGACGACATCTGAACAGAGGTTATCTAACACCGAAAGCTTAATATTTGAACAACGATGGTTCTTATACAATAAATTAACAAGGCAATGCCTGTGGGTGAAACTGGTTAAGTTCATCAAAGCCATGGATACAGCACTACGACATTTTTCGATCTTT